TGCGATTGATTTCTTGTCGGCCATGCGAGGATGTTAAAGGGTAAACCAATTACCATGCTGTCGGCAAATATGCCACTTCCCCCGGTGTCCCAGATTTCACACAAAGTTTGGGATTCTCCTCCCGCAACCCTAACCCGCTCAATCCGGCCATGCAAAACTGGGACAAACGTCCAGGCTAGGCGTCACACGTTTCCGCTACATAAGCAAGGAAACGTTCGCACATGATCGTAACCAATTCACGGTTAGTAGGCTGGGAGTCAGATCCTTCCGCAGGAAGCGGCTGTATAGCGGTTACACATGCGGTGGGCACGTGCGGCGTGTGTGCTTTGGCCCCCGGTTCCCAAGGCCCCCCCCCGTGAGTTTGTGTGCATGAGCGGAGAAACCAGTCCTGGCTTGCCTCCCCTTCGTAGAACTCCGTTAAGTGGGATTTTTGGTTTGAGGACCTGTGGCTCGGCAGCTCGGCTTTGGGGTTGTGGTGGTGTCGTGATGAACTGGCAATAGATCAACCACGCCATCATGCACCAATATGCGGTTTGCATATTGTTTGCTGTCCTGTTGAGAAGGGCCTTATGAGTTGATTGCACAAGGACTTGCGAGATTGTGACCCACCTGCGGTCCGGGGTACATCCCACCGTACGACACTGGCGCGGGTGGATCGAGGACGCCGGGAGGATGTCTTGGAGCCCGAGGGGGAAGGGGCGGCAAGGTGGGCCTGGGAGGGTAGGGAGGTGGGGGGCTTGGTGGCTGCGGAGAAGGAGGCGGCGGGCTTGGAGGTGGAGGATCAGGGGGAGGAGGGCTGGGAGGGGGTGGCTGGGGTGGCGGCGGACTTGGGGGCGGGGGGCTTGGTGGGGGAGGACTCGGGGCTATCGGTGTATAGGGTGGGTTGTCGGGTTGGGGTGGCGTGGGTGGTATTGGGGAATCTCGTGACAAAGCGCTGTGCGCCGATGCATCCGGTGGCCCAGGGTTCGGAATGTGTAGGGAAACATAGTCGTCGGATTCAGATTCGTTGTTTTGCTCGTAGGGTTGACCCTGCATGCTCGAGGAAAGGGGAGAAGGGGATTCTTTAAAATTACTCAAATTAAAAAGGAAAATGCCGGGAGTTGAAACAGATCTGCTTTCACTCCGTGCAAGGTAGCATGTTTTGACCCTTTCGCGAACTAGCACCATGCTGCCTTGGCTGTTCGTGCTCATTGGGGATCGGATGTTGGCAGGCGCTGAACTTGCCGGGGAAAGCTTCCTACCCCACCAAGCCGCGACCTAGTCTCCAGGGTTGCCCCAGTCCCCTGCCGCGGAAGGCCGCTGATGTGGTGGAGGCGACAGCGCGACTAAAAATGCAAATGGACATGGTAAGGTGGAACGCTTGGGAAGCGCGTCATGATGCTGCTATTGCCGCGAATAATTTTTGATTTAACGAAAATTAGAGTCAATTCTTCTCTAATAGCCTGGAAGCTTAATTTTTTATGGCCATGTGAATCTTAGTTTTTTGGATGTTCCTAAGCAGTTGATGATGCTAAATCATGACCCGCTGCATTACCTTCTTATCAAAGACCTTTATTTACGTTATGCAACTGGAGGCCGGGGTTCTGGGGGATGTAAGGATTAATTAGGCAGTCGGTTTGAAAGTTACTGGAGCCGAAGCCTCGACAGGGTGTCGTTTTGTCTGATTTGCACTAGCCGAAATGATAGCTTGCAATCCCACGGAAAGGAAATGCAAAAAATTCGCTTCATTCTTTGGAGTTACGGGTGTAACCAACGACACTGCACAAGAAAAGATTTCAGCAGGAAACAGCAAGTTATCGCAACAAGCTGAAGCGTTCGGAAAAATGGCGTCCATCTTCAATTTAGTCGATAAGCTTCTGTATTGACGAATCCGCGTTAACCGAAATGCTTTTTTATTATTTGGAAAGAGCAGCAAGTGTGAAAGCCGCAGGACTATTCGAAATACGTGACCCGATTTTTGATACACTCATGTAGCACTGTCCATTGGGGCACAGCAGGCGCCGATGTGAGGTGCTAAGGGAACACGTAACGTTTTCCGTGAATAAAATTCAGAATTCGGTGAGACGGAGTCGGAAATCGGTGGGTGAAGCCCCAAACCTGAAACGTTTTCACGCAACAAAACAATACATGGCATGAAGAGCTTGTGGATGCACCAAGTTATCGTCCCCGTTTTGGTGGCGCCGACGTCGGGCCAGACCGTCCAAACCCAACTGTTGCCCCACAACCCGGCACACTTAAGATAATGTTTCCACCGCAAACACTCATCAAATTATTCGCACGCCGTTTACGATGTGAAATATCGGGCTTCATGTGACGCACCTTCACTCCTGAGGGCCCCACCGTGGCCAGAAGCAGCAGAAGCATCCAACATAGACGACAACTTGGCTGTTTTATCCATTCCCTTCGCAACATCACTGATAATCGCGGCTGATTTAGCGTGGTAGCCGCCGCCTTGTGTCGTCTTGCCTCGACTAACGTACGTCCTGGGAACGACAGATCGAAGTGCGCATGAGTGGCAGCTTCTTTTTAATTATATAATTCAAGTCGGCGAAAAACGACAGATTTAGGAGGTCTTAAGTTTTCTGTAATCGGTGCGTTACTTCCGGGTACAATAGTGCGCCAAGGAGACACCGGCAAAGGAAGTGGTAAGGGCACTTTCCATGTCCGCGCGATAACTAATGCAAATGTGATCAATTATCAATTTAAAAATGTTTTATGTAAATAAGTCCCTCGTCCTGCTTCGGACCGGCCACACCAGAGCATGCCGCCATAGGGGCGGATGTTGGACCTTCAGAGAACCCCCACGTCCTGGGACTTATTAGAGGTAGGGCAATGTAGGTATGGTAAGTGGCATTTTCTTTGCCTAACCTAATGAAGGTTGTGTCGCCGTTTGCACCATTCCAGTCGGGCCCCTTGCAATATGGATCATCCAAATGTTACCCAGATGCCATCGCAATTAAATTAGGCTGCGTTACTAACCATCTAAGGTAAGAAGTTTACAATTCGGCGCGATGAATCGTGTAGATAAGCACTCAAGGCCCAGGCCCAAACGTGCCAAATTCCCCCTGCTGTCAGGATTGACAAATTCCCTGCGTTTCCCTTTGCAAAACATTTCCATGTGTAATGATTTTTGGGTAAGTCATTGTAGATTAGCCGAACTTTGCCATGGCTTGTCTTGCACGTACCGGTACAAAAGGGTCAGTCAGCAGCACAACAACCATTATATCACATAAGGTTTAGCACACGACACCAGACTGACTACACATGAGCCTGCCAATAATCGGAACAAGCTCATCGCTAAGACAGGGTATCATGAGCCTGCCAATAAGTTGAAACCTTGCTACGGCAGAAACAGTACGGATGCGTTACAGTACGGATGTAACATACTTATCCGGATGCGCTTTTGGAAGTAATAGCTATTCCCTATAGGGAACAGAAAACAGACGTGGGGGAAATAGCTCTGCTGTATTAGCAGTGGAAACGGGTTATGGAAAGTCGAGCTTGGAAGATGACAAGGCCACGTCGTAAAGACTCTTCCTTTGCTGTCCTTTGCTCCTACCCAACCATTTTCCTTTATCCTTTAAACGGGAAAACGTCCGCGCCCGTCGCCTGGCGCACCTTTGTTGAGCCTTCTGACCCCAACCGACCTCCATACCTTTCTTAACCTACCCTTAATCCCGGCAACTTTGTTAGGAATAAGACCTGTGGCTATGGTAAAAGATCATTGTTCTCGTTCTGCGCGCAAAGGTAGCGGCATGTCGTACATGTTATTACAAGAGTCCTAGACTGCTGTGGCACACATGGCCTGGCGAAGCGAGCTGTCAATAGTGTTCAAGTTAATAAAATGGCAGCAGACCCGCACTTTAACATTACTAGTGGTGACACTTTTCGAACTGGAAAGCACAGGACGCTCGTACAAACGTCAAGGCGGCGGCACGTCCCAGCGAATTTCGCAGCGCCAGCAGCGCCAGCAGCAGCTGGAGGCCCTGTAGGACGAAGACGCTGCGACGACGAGCGCAAGGGTACACGAGCGCGCATGGACAAGTGCCGGGCCGCGGATGCGAGCGCTTGCCCTCTTCGTCTCCCACCACCACCACCACCATCCTCCGCCTTCCGGTTTACCATCTTCGGTACCTCTCCTCGGTTTCCACCTGCGGCCCGAACACCGCTCTCCCGCGCGGGTGTGTCTCTCGGTCCTACAGCTCACGCAGCAGCAGCAGCTGCTGCTGCTGCTACTGCTACTGCTACTGCTACTGCTACTGCTACTGCTACTGCTGCCCTTATTCTGGTCGTGCTGCTGCTACTCGTGTTCTGCTGGTTGTCGCTGACGGTCTTACGTCCGGGCCCGAAGAGCTGTTGCCGCTATTGCGGACCCGCGTTCCTTAGCTCTACTGAAACCTTTTCGACAATCATTTCGCAGGATGTTTTGTGTAGTAGCTTTATCAGGACAAAGGCGAGGATTTCGCTGCGAATTCATTAATCATAAACATAATTCAAAATCATACTGTCAACTGCCAGTCTGTCAAGTTATGTTCGTTGTTGCTGCTTTTTGGAATGCAGATAATTAACTTGGGGCAGACAGACATCGCTGCGGAGGTAGGTTATCACCCTGAGGCTCTACGAGTTTAGGAAAAGCAAAAGTCACATTTCGCAGATCTCTCTTCCCATTGTTCGGTCAATAGACGTTGGAAGCATACGCAGCAGAAGAATGCAAAAGCAGCAACAGCAGTAGCAGCAAGCTGCAATTTCCTTGCGGCAGCCGTCCGCGGGAATTCATGGTGAGGCTTGAGCGACCCATGGGTCACACGCAAACGCGACTGCGCATTGGCGTTGGTTCCCGCCGTCAGAAAGCTCAATATGTGTTCCTTCTGTGTTACGTATAATAAATAAAAACAACATCTTTGTTTTTGCCTTCTTGTGCGTGTTCCTAAGGTTCCATGCCTGTGCTATCGTGCTGTAACGTCGAGTACAGAATCCCTGAGAAGCGGCTTTCAGGCCAGCGACGCTGCGCCGTAGTGCTGTGAATGTCTCCAGCGCAACCGCAAATAGTGATAGCATTGTCCAGTTTCGGAGTGACAGGAAGCCAAAACAGCACAGCCGCGAAAGAAAATGCCTTTTCATTGATGCTCATCGTGCCGCTTCTTTTTATATACTGCTTCGAACCATGTTGATACAGTAAGTCTTTGATCTTGCATATTCATTTTGCATCTTCCGGCAGCTTGGCGTAAAGTCGGTGTCGGGAAAGTGGGTGTGAAGTCATCCAGCCGTTGACAAAGGCGAATAGTTCTCATCGAACAATTCGCCACTGTGTCTTTCAAGGCCGGAACGATCGACCATCAAGTGCAGCTTCCCTCTTACGCATAATCCGATTGTGCTGACCTGTAAGGAATATCTATCCGTGTGTTTCATCGATTAAACTCTCAGTTTGTGGCCAGACCAAACTACACGGTAGCTGCTCGCGCCTGCTGCCTGCGAAGTTTTCTCTCTTTCCCTTCTTTAATTAACCCTTCCGCTTGCATTTCTGGCGTCATCCAAGGTCTTGAGCGGTTGCCTCGCTTCTTCCTGCAGCGAGGCGCGCGCACAAACATGATTCCCTTTCGCGATCATCCCTCTCTTCATTGAGGAGCCCTCACTGTGGACGACTGTACCGGTTTTCCTTTCCTGCAGAAGCCAGCAACAAGCTGCTGGACAGCACAACCGCCCATCCCACGCAACCGCTTCTCGAAACTTCCTAAAGCCCGTATCCCGGAGTCCCAGACCCGCAGACCGGACTTAAGCGCGCGAACACCCAAAACTTTATCGTATCATTCATACACACATACAAACACTAATACGTGCCAGAACGCGGCGGCAGGGCGTGCCTGTGCCTTGCGGAGATGACGTGTGTTAACGGCGCTTCTGCCGGGCCTCTGCGGACGGCGCTGCTGTGCATCGACGTGCAGTGCGACTTCATGCCGGGGTGGGTCGGTCGTGGGGAGGGAAGGGGGAGGGAAGGGAAGGGAAGGGGGAGGGAATGAAAGGGAAGGGAAGGGAAGGGGGAGGGAAGGGGGAGGGAAGGGGGAGGGAAGGAAAGGGAAGGGAAGGGAAGGCGGAGGGTTAGTGTCGAGGGGTGGACCGGGCATGAAACGGCTGCAGGGCCGCAACAGGACCGCGCAGCGTAAGGAGCCTGCAGGGCGACAATGCGTCACAATTTCGATAGCAGTAGCTAAGAACTGCAGGGGGGAGGTAGGGGGCTCCAGGGGGAGAAGCGCCGGGTGGGGTCCTGCGGATGGTTGAGGAGACGCGGCGCCTGGGGAAAGGAGGTTTGAAAACGAAGGGGCTATCTTCAGGCTGCATGCTCTGCGGGGGATGTTGGGCTCTTTAAAAGAGAGCTCTTTAAAAGATGGGCCTGAGGTCATATATATGCTGCTGAGTACGGCAAGTTAATTCAAGATGTACGGCTTTGTACTCCTCCTTATCCTGGCACATCGCATCCCACCCGGCAGCAAGGAGGCTTCTGGGCCGCCAGGCCGCCGCGGAGAAGTTCCTTGAGTGAATATATGTACTTACTTGTCCTGACTGGCTTGTATCTTAGGTTTTGCTTATGTTCCTGTTCTCATCTTACGATGCGTTTTTTCGTAACGTCGTATTGCTTGATATTGTTCCTTTTGCGCCCATTTTCTTGCGGCGTTGCACGTTTGCTGCGATCCTTCTTGCAACCGCGCCAACCTGCAGCTGGTTGCCGCGAAGCAGAGCCGTTCCCCGGGCTCTTCGTAAAAAGGTGCATTTTTATACCTGTTGGTACGACGCGCACGGCAGCAATTGTGGTACGACGCGCAAGCCGAACTCGTACGTCGCGGGAGGGTCACCGTGAATCCTCTTGTAGACTGCTAAGGAAGGAAAAGAAGCAAGTACGCGACTGTCATAAATGTACACGCTTGCACATGTACGGCACCAGCGCGATAACAAAAAGCCGCCAAAGGAAAAGGACCTAGGTTTTCTTGTCATCGCTGCATAACACCCCTTATGGAAATTGGTTTCGCGTATGCTATTGCCCCTTTGTAACTGTTCCTATTCGCGGTTTGTTTACCCTCAACCAGTCCATTTTTTGCCCTTTTCGTACATTCCCTCTCATCACCCCAATTCGCCGAACAGGGGCTCCCTGGCAGTGCCCAGAGGCGACGAGGTCATCCCGGTAATCAACAAGGTGAGCGAAGGGGAGCTATGTGTGACCCATGGGTCACTAAATGACAATCACCATCAATTGGCTATGGGGCTGGTGGCACACTGACCCGTGAAAGGGACCCATAAGGGGCTAAGAAGCGTTTGGATGCCTGTTAGATCGGAGATTTTACCGCCGTACCGCCGTACCACCCAATACCCAACACCGCACCCCTCCTTCCCCTTTCCCTCTTTGCAGTTTGCGGCTTTGGACGTTGTTGTCGCCAGTCGTTTTTTATCCTTCTTGACTTTCCTTAAGTTTGCATACCTGATATTCCTTTAATATCCACCCCTCCTTCCTTTTCTTCGCCCGCCAACTTCCCTCCCCTTCCTCCCCTTCCTCCCCTTCCTCCCCTTCCTCCCCTTCCTCCCCTTCCTCCCCTTCCTCCCCTTCCTCCCCTTCCTCCCCTTCCTCCCCTTCCTCCCCTTCCTCCCCTTCCTCCCCTTCCTCCCCTTCCTCCCCTTCCTCCCCTTCCTCCCCTTCCTCCCCTTCCTCCCCTTCCTCCCCTTCCTCCCCTGCCTCCCCTGCCTCCCCTGCCTCCCCTGCCTCCCCTGCCTCCCCTGCCTCCCCTGCCTCCCCTGCCTCCCCTGCCTCCCCTGCCTCCCCTCCTCCCCTTCCTCCCCTTCCTCCCCTTCCTCCCCTTCCTCCCCGCCGCAGCTCCGGCGCATTTGCCGGGACCAGCTGTCCCTGGTGGCTCTCACTCAGGACTACCACCCGGAGGACCACGTCAGCTTCCTGGAGACACACGCGCCGCCGCCGCCGCCGCTGCTGCACTTCCCGCAACTACTGCCGACACAGCTACCGCCGCCTCCAGCGTCGCCGCCGCCGCTGGCCTTCTCGCCGCCGACCTCGCCGGCGCGGAGGTCCTTGGACATTTGCCGCCTGGTGTCCGCCATCGGCGGCGGCGGCGGCGGCGGCGGCACTGATGTCAGTGGCGCAGCATGTACGGGGGGTGCCGCCGGTGACGGTGGTGCGGCTATAGCGCCGCAGCCAATGATGGGAGGGCTCTGCGGGCGCTCCGCCAGCGGCGCACTGGCCCCTGTGGCGGTGAGAGTTTTTGGTGGTTCAGGGTGTCTAGGTTTTAAGCTTTTAAGGGGGTTAAGCGCTCATCCAATCGGTTCATCATCCCATCCACCTATTCATCCGTCGCTACGCCGTAGGGCCACCCACGGGCCCCTGGGCCAACCCTCCCGCCACCCCCGCGCCCCGGGGGGGGGACCCGCCGCAGTTTCAACAGGTGTCATGGCCAGCACCGCCGCAGCCCCGGCAATATGTACGACTTGTGTACAACAAGGGCACTGGCGGACTCAAGGACTGCTCCCGCTGCGGCGCGTCCTGCGCGGCCAGGCGCCTGGCGGGGCCGCCGCCGCCGTCGCCACCGCCGCAGGAGCCGCCGTCACATGAGCATTCACTGCCGTCACCGGCGCTACCGTCAAAGTGCCCGGCCGACGGGGCCGTACAGCCGCCGCCGTCAGAGCAGATTGCGGTGCCGCCGCTGGAATCTGACAATGGCCAGAATCACGTTCACGTCCACGGTGAGGCCAAAATCCAGGTCGAAGACGGAGGCGGGCTGATTGCAAGGGGGGAGGTCTCGAGCGCAGACGCGGCGGGCCAGCGGCGCCTGGTGTACGGCAGCATCAATGTTGAGCAGTCCTCGATGGCACACGACTCGCCACGGGATCTGGGGGAACACGGAGCCGCGGCGGCGCCGCCGCCGCCGCCGCCGCCGCCGCAGCAGCCACCGCCACGAGTATCTGGTGATGCCGGTGGCGCGGCGCAGCCCGTCGCCGCCGTCGCCGTCGCGCCAACGTCACACGACGCCCTGCAAACCGTCGGCGGCTCCGCCACAGCCGCTACAGCCGTCGACGCGAATGACGGGACCAAGGATGTGGTCTGGGAGGAGGGGGAGTCCCTGGAGCATCTGCTCCAACGGCGCATGGTGGAGGCGGGCTGGACGAATTGTACGACGCCAGTGAAGATGGCGACCGCACCGGAGGCGCTGGCTCCGGCGGGCCCGGCTGAGTCCGCTGCCAATGTGGCGGAGAGGAAAGGCAGCGGCGGCGGCGGTGACGGAGGCTGTGACGGCGGCGGTAGCGGAAGCGGTGACGGAGCCGACGTGAGGACGTGGGTGGAGGTACTGCGATCAGGGTCAGAGCCGTGTCGTACGCCGATGACGCAAGGCGCTGCTGGCGCCAGTCCTCCCGCGGATGACGTCACCGCCGCCGCTACCTCCACCGTTAGCGGCGACACCGTTACCAGGGTGGTCCAGTTGCTGGGAGCCACCCCTGCCGCAGCCGCCGCCGCCGCCGCTACCGCTACCGCTACCGCCGTGTCGGGGTTCCCACGGCAACGGAGCCCGCACACACTTTCACCCTCCGAAACCAAGTCCTCGTCCGCACCTACAGCCTCAATAGCCGCCGCTGGCGGAGGTGGTTGGGCCGCCGCGCAGCGGGCGGAGGCGGAGGCGGAGGCTGCAGAACGGGAATGTCCAGGGAGGGTGGCGATCGAGGTGGCGGTAGCGGAGGCGGTGGAGGTGAAGGTGAAGGTGGCAGAAGAGGGGGAGGAGGAAAGCGGTGCGGCGGAGGCGGAGGAGGTGGAGGCGAAAGCGAAGATAGCGGAGGAGGTGATGGTGGAGGAGGAGAAGATGCGAAAAGAGGTCGCAGCCCGAAGCGGCCAGGACCGGGCGGAGGGTGAGGAGGAAGAAGAAGAAGAAGGAGAAGTGCTGTTACAGCGCCTGTGGCCCACCCACTGCGTGGCGGGGTCTCCCGGAGCAGATCTGGTTCTGGAGCTTGTGGCGCTGCCGCATGACGTTATTGTACGGAAAGGCACCCGTCGTGACGTGGACGGCTACAGCGCCTTCTTCGACAACGGCAGGTGGGTGGGCGGCGGCTCCCCCTCCGTTTCCGAGTCCGGGGTCTTTAGACGTCTGTGGAGAGCCACCTCTGGAGGTTGGGCGGAGAGACGGTTGGTAGTTTGGTGAAGAGGCAGTTGGTGGTTGGGCGGAAGGCGGTTGATGGCTGGAGTGAGCTGGTGAATATGGAAGGTCATTCGCCCGGGTCCCCCCCTCTCCCTTCCGGAACCACGGGTCAGTGATGACATCACACCGCTTAGGACTCACTCACTAGGGGCAGTTTCTTCGGACCTCTTGGACAGCGAAACAGTTCACTTCTCTCACTTTCACTCGCACATGAGCCCTTCCCGCTCCTCCCCCCTGCTCCCCCCCGCCATACACATACACATACACACATACACGCACACGCACTGACATGTATAGGTTTCACGCCACGGGACTTCACGAGCAGCTGCGGTCCGCCGGTGTCTCCCGCTTGCTGGTGGCCGGGCTGGCTACGGAGTATTGCGTGTTGTGGACCGTACGGGACGCCGTGAAGCTGGGGTATCAGGTGGGGCCAAGGACGCGTCTGTGTCCGTATGTCTGTGTGTCTGTGTGTGTATTGTATAAATATCTTGCCAGGCCCGACGCTGGCCAAGGGCTGCTGCTCAGCCCCAACAAACAAGACCGCCGATTTAGCACTTTCCCCACCCCAGGGGCGTGAGGGGCCGCTATCTCCTCCTGTTGGGCACAGAGCTTGAACCGTCGGATATCTTGTGTATATGTGTGTATGTATGTCTGTGTGTGTGCATGGGAAGGTGAGATGACCGTAGAGAAGTCATCTGGCTCTGCTGGAGGTCATGTTGGGAGGTCGATCTTCTGAGACAACGTCGAGGGGTGACTAGAGGGGGCTTACTCGTCTGGTTTGGACCCCCCTGTCGTACACCACCACCACCACCACCACCACCACCACTACCACCACTACCACCATATCTTGCCTCTACGCCACTTCGCACCTCCCACGGCCGCCTCCTCGCCACCGCACCGTCTCTGCTTCCACCTAGCTGCAACCATCTGGCTACCCCCATCATCATCATCATTATCACCGATCTTATAAGCAATACATACCTACACATACACACGCACCCCACTCCCCGCCCGCGCGTGCCTGACTGCCGCCATGGGTGGGTGCAGGTCTGGGTTGTGGCTGATGCCGTACGGGGTATGGGGGGTCCGGAGGAGATATCGGCGCTGGCGGAGATGTCGGGGCTCCCTGGAGTGCTGCTGCTGACGTCAGAACAGGTCATATCGGCAGCTGCGGCCTGGCCTCACGTCAACATGCTGGCTCTGGCGGCGGATGGTGACGATGGTAATGACGGTAATGAGGAGGAGGGTGAGGAGGAGGGTGACGCGGGGGGTGCCCTCATGGGGCGGAGACTGGATGGCTGGCTGGCTGGAGAGATGTGATGGCTGGGCGGGCAGGGTAGCGGTTGAGGTGGTGGTTGTGTGGTGTGTTTGATGTGTGTACGTATGTATGTGTGTGGGAGAGAAAGGGGGAGTTTTAAAAGGTTTAAGGGCGCCCCTTGAAGCTGCTCGGGAGCCGAGGGGGCGACGATGATGGATTCGAACCGGAGATGCCGGTGGGGGAAAGGGAGTGCGTGTTTTTGTGTTGGCACGTTCGATCGTTCCGAGGCGGATTGTGTAGGAGTTGTGGTTAGTGCGTGAGGAGAAGGCGAGAGATGGAGTGCGAGAGAGACTCGTTAAGGGAGCGATAGCGGCGATGATGACGGTGTACGGCGTGACCCCCCGCCCTTGGGGGGCAGTTTGGCGGACGTTTGGGGGGAGTCGCAATCGTGGGGGAGACGCGGAGGCTTGAGATCAGCTGGGGAACGTAGCGAGTAGCCTCAAGGCAATTGCGTATGTATGTGTGACTGTGTGACTGTGTATGTGTGTATGTGCTGTGGAGAGTAAGGGGGGGAAAGGGGGGATTGCACCCCGCGGAGCTGGAGCGAATGCAGAGAAGACCCGTCTGTATGTATCTACGTATTGATGGCCGTAAGGAAGTTGAGGAGCCCCATGCAGGGGGCACCGTTCCCGGCCCCCGTGCTCTTTGTTGTTGTGCTCTTACCTAGGGGCGCTACTGCCAGTACGGCCTGCTATTGTCGTGACCTTGTTGTACTGCTGTTGTACAGTTTTAGGTAAAGCCATGCGACACGTATATCTCATCCCAGGCACAGCGGTGTCCGGCACAATTCCCGATTGGCCTAAAACCCCCCCATTGGAACCCGCGATGTAACTTGCATCGGAAATGCAGATACCAGCCCACGCAACAACTGACTTAATAAAAACCAAAGCTCATCATTGGACTAGCCGCAAAAGCACCAGCATAACTAGGATGTGGCAAGATCGGCTCCTTTTAAACGCCTAATTTTAAGCTGTCATAGGCGAAATGCGCGTAACTTACGCGATTGACATTATTATTTGCTCTAGTCAAATCTACTCTTAAAGAAACAACCATAAAGTAAGCTGCCATCTGTGCCCACCCCGTAGCGAAAGGCAGCTGCTGCTACTGCCACTGCTACTGCTACTGCTACTGCCACTACTGCGGACTACGATGATGGCTTCCCAAAAAAGCAATGCAGGGTGGTGCAGGCCCTGCCAACCGACACCTAATGGCGGGCTGCCATACACAAAGCTTCAGGGGGCTGTGGTTTTTTTTGGGGGGGTTGGAAGACAAGGTAGGCTGCAGACGCGCCGGATGGGGTGCAGTTAGACGTGTCCCAGCGTAAGCTTTTTGCTGTCTGCACATGCAGCCCGGCAACCGCCGGGATCAGTATCGTTTACTTGAATGTACTTGAGCAATCGACGATAAAGATCGCTCATGACAATGCGCGCTCATATGAACAGTGTCTCTGAAACCTTCCTTTTACCATTTTAAGGGGGGTGGGTTACGGGCCCCACCTTACCTTGGCGGTGTTTCCTTCAGCCTCATGGAGGCTGGTGGTTCTGGAGCTGCTCAGTGTCAGCCACCTGCCACCTGATGCGGATTGAAACCCGTCGTCCACCACCATTCGATTTCCTCGGGGGTACGACCCGGGGCCGGAAATTGCAAGTACGGCAAAGGTAGAGGAGATCCAGGAAGAGGGAGGAAAACCCTACCTCCCTCCAGCCTCCGCCACGTCCTCCCTTATCGGAGGTGGAGAAGGGGGTGAGGAGGGAGGAGAGAGGAGAATGGGGCCTAGCTGGAAACCAGTGGCCAGTAGCTGGCCCCTCCTTCCGTAGAAAGCCTGACAGCCTTGGATGACCTCCTAGGGCCTGTGAGGCCAAATCGCCGCAGGAGACACACCTTCGCGTGACGAGTGAACAAAATGTCAAGAAGAAATGTGTGGTATTATTTGCCAGAGGGGTAACAGAAGACGCAATGACTGTTTGGCTGGCGAAAAAGATTAAAGCCCTCGGGGGCGTTCGAAAACCCTAGTCAACACAGCAAGTGTCGAATGCTGTGCACCAAACATTGGGGCATAATATGGAAATGGTAATACGATGGTGTGGAAGATCTGGAAATGGTATAGCATGGTTGCCGTGAGCCGGGAGCATATTTCCCTTAAGAAACGAAAACGTCCGCACACAGTGGTTAGTGCACGTTCTGCCGAGTTCTGACATAGTGGTTAAGCGGTTCGAAAAGGCCCATTTTTTCTCCTTTTATAACCATGATGCGAGAGCCATGGAGTAAAGTTGAAAGTTTCAAGTCGGAATGTTTCCGAGGTCCGTTATTCCGTTGTTTCGGTTCCCGCCATTGACGCGGCAAGTTGGGTGGCCCAAAGGGAACCGAAGGTAATGACGCAGACCTGACGTCTTGCCCGACGCTGCTCAGTCGCTAGGCTATGAACTTTAATTATACCGCTACCTGCACTTTTGCTGTTACATATCCCTACTGGACATTGGACTTAACTGCTAAAACTAGAGTGCGAAGACCAAAGAACGAAACTTGCTTGTTGAAAGTTTGTTTACAACAATTTCAATTTTATAGATTCCTTACATATCCCTAGCATTTGTCCAGAGAGCTAATTCTCCTTTCGGCGGCGTCTGCAAGCGCCAGAGGTCAACAGCGATGGCTCCATCTCTCTGGTAAGCTGGGTGTGTAAAACTAGCGCATTCTTATCTCGCAGTTTGCCTTCATGTCCAGGGATGCCGCAGCTGCGTGCGCGGAATGACTGCACCGAATGATGTGGCTTGGACTGGCTTGGCTTGCCGTCGTTGGCCGTTTTGGGCACTAATCAAATCATCAGTATTTACACACCACTACGTATTTCTCTGTATGGTTGGCATAATGCCCTTTCCTGAGGTTCGCCTGTCGCCCACGGATGATGGTAAACTTCGATTGAGGTGCAGCTCAACCCTAACCCCAGCCGCTCGCCGGCCAGTTGGAACTCCATAAGTGTAATTGTTTTAATCAAAATTATTGATTGCCTGATATCAATGACAATATTTACTCATGTGCGCGGACTTTAATTAGGCCCTTGTGACATAACACCTCTTCCTACGCCACCGTTCACCGCAGTCCATTACTGCCCGCCGAGTCCCTTGCCTTGTCCCCGTCGCAGCGTCCCCCTTCATAATGGCCAAGACCCGGCGCCTGCAGTGGCCTGCGCGGAGGCCGTCCTCAGCACACTTGATGCCGAACCTCTTAACTTTAACAACATGAACAAGCAACAGAAGGTGCAGCGTCAGCACCTGGAAACACTCGTTCAGTCCCCAGCAAGATCCGACGCCAGCGATGGCGATCAAGGCGTGCTGAAGGCGCCGTCGCCGCCGCTATCCCCAGCCGTGCCGCCACCTGTCGTACCACTTCACCGTCCACCATCCATGTGTGCCGCCGCTGCCGTCGCCGCTACCCCCTCAGCCTCCAGGGGCGGCGCGACGCCTTCCGTCTCCGCCGGCGCCGCCGCTACCGTCGACTGGTCACGTGTACGACTCGGCGTCGACGCGGCCCCCACGATGTTTGTCGCCACGTGGTCTCCGGAGACGGGCCGCTGGAGCGGCGGCGAGCTATTGCCGTACGGACCGCTGAACCTGCTGCCGGCGGCGCAGGTGCTGAACTACGGTCAGAGCATCTTTGAGGGAATGAAGGCATACCGCTGCTGCGACGGCGGCGACAGCTCTGATGCCGCCGCCGCCACCACTGGCTCTGGTCGCGTGCGCTTGTTTCGGCCAGACGCTAACGGCGCCCGATTTGCTGCTGGCGCTGTGCGCATGTGTATGCCCCCAGTGCCCCAGGCCATATTCCTGGCGGCTGTCCATGCGGTGGTACGAGCCAACGTCGCATGGGTGAGTGGTGCGGGGTGTACGGCAGGTGCGTAGGTGAGTGGATGTGGAGATGGCTATGAACGGGGCCGGCGGGATAGAGACCTGGATGCCGTACTGGCAGGACCTGGCCAATACGATGTACCGCAGGAGACGGTACGGCTACATGTGTACGGCGTGCAAGCTCCATAAGCAGGGCCGGGATATACCTAGAACGCTCCTCGCACACCGCGGGCTGGGGTTACCGGGCCTCCCCCCACGTTGCATACACGTCATCCCGCCTTCCCTCCCGCCCATCCAAATGGTGTTACCCACGCTGCTTGCTTGGGACTCGTACGGCAGTCGGTATGCTTTGGGCGTGCCGTCACGTGTGTTTCTCTCGGACTTGTGTCCATCGCATAATCTTCCCCCTCCATTTCGCGACCTTTCCCCCGGATAGGTTCCCCCCGCCGCTAAGGGCAGTCTGTATGTCCGTCCGCTGCTGCTGGGAACTGGACCCCTGCTGGGCCTCTGTCCGGCACCGTCTTACACGTTTGTGGTGTATGCCGTACCGGTGGGCAGTCGCGCCAAGGTGTGTGGACCGTTCACCCTCACTCGCTCGGAACCCTCCGGGCGCTTGGCCGTCTCCAGGACTCTGCGAAGACTGACCCACCGACCCACACACCGCCATTCACCTCCAAGAAAATCCGTGACGTTGCAGCCCACACACACCCCGGCGCAAAAATAGTTTTATTTCCTACATCGGTGAATATGCTGTTGTGGCGTGTCATCGCTTCCTTACCGACCGGATCGCGGATTTCCTTGAAGTTTTTGAAGATTAAGTTTCAAGGACTATACCGGGGCACTCAGCGCCCCGAATTCCCTCACTTCACGTCCCCACATTGACCCGCACGTAAAGCTGACGATCACATTCCAACCACGCAACCACTTTCACCCCTCTGCCTCCCCGCTCTCCGCCGCCACCTCGCCTCTCTCTGCCGCCACCCCAGGGGGGCCGCCTGGCCTCCCTGGACTTCCTGATACACGACTCCCTGCACCGGGCCGCCCCCCGCGGAGTGGGCTCCACCAAGGCAGCTGGCAACTACAGCCCCTGTCTGAGGGCGCAGGCTGATGCCCGGGAGGCGGGCTGCCAGGACTGCATTTACCTGGATGCCAGGAGGTGGGAAGGAGGGGTAGAGGGGGGGAGACGGCGGCGGGTGAGGGGGCTAGGGGGCGGTGGGGGTGTCCAGGCTACCGTGGACCCTTTCCACCGGGACTAACAACACTCTGGCGGGTTGTGTGGATTGTAAATTGGCTTTCCCAAACTTGGGAAGAGGGCACATGTGTGGCTCTACAGTGTCTGTGTGTGGTGTGTTTTGTTTTGTTTTGTTTTGTTTTGTGTCGTGTGGTGTGGTGTTTTGTTTTGTTGTACTATGTTGGACTGGACTGTCACATTGCGTTGTGTTTTGTGTTGTGCTGTTGCTCTATTTGCAACAGGTATGTATGTATGTAGGCAGACGTTCGCACCTATCTACCGGGGATTCAGGCCCTCGTCCTCCTGTGTACGGCACTCCAATGACCCATACCTCCCATTGCTTCTTCTCCCCCCCCTTCCCCCCCCTCACCTCCCCCACCTCCCCGACGCCCCGTAACCCTTTTCAGTGACACATACCTGGAGGAGGGCTCGGGTTGCAACATCTTCACGACCCATGGGTCACTGGTCACCACACCGCCGGCTGCTGGGTCCATTCTGCCGGGCATCACTCGGGCCTCCCTGCTGCAGCTGGCTGTCGTACTCGGATACTCGGTGCGGGAGGCGCCCATAACCGTGCAGGATGCCATGAAGGTGCCAACCCCGGGATGGGGGGGCTGGGGTGGGGGGTGGGGCCCTGCGGGTGGACGGAGATCATGTGGTGCAAGGAGGGGCAGGAGGTGAATATTCGACCCCCACAGCACTACTGAGACTAAGGGAAGGGGAATGAGCTGCGGGGAGGGGGGCCAATGGGTGGGGGAAAGGGGGGAAAGGGCAAAGCGGGAAATGGGCGAGATGCGCCGGGGTTGTGTGGCGCTGGCGGTTGCTTTGGGCTGCGTGTTGTACAAGGGCTCTTAAGGTATCTGTGCGAGCTTGTGGCTTTTCTTCTGTTTGTGTTTTTTTGTGTACGGAGCTGGGTTGGCGGAGAGCCGTCGTGTTGCTACCCTCCATCTGACTCATCACGTCTTGGCCGTCGCCACTGCTGTTGTCGTACGCTGTACTGCTGTTGTCGTACACAGGCGGATGAGATGTTTGCCAGCGGCACCGCCATGGTGGTTCAACCCATTGGCAGCATCACATATAAGGGCCGCCGGGTGCAGTTTTGCCGCCATGCAACAACAACCAACGGTGCAACAACTAACGGTGCAGCAACCAACGGTGCAACAACTAACGGTGCAGCAACCAACGGCGCAATTGTCAATGCAACTGGGGAAAGCGACAACCCCGCCAACTGTCATTCCTTGGACGAGCATTCCGACGGCAACGGCAAAATTAACCGTTATTCCAACGACCATGCCAGCGGTAACGGCTGCACGGCCGGCAGCAATGGCGAGGCAGGGGAAGTCGCCGGCAGTGATGGAGGCGGTGGTGTTCCGATATCGTGTGTGTTTGGCGGCAAAACCGCCGCTGACCTGATGGCTGAGGACCGGGCGGCGCTGGCAGCATCGGCACCGGTTCCGGAGCCCGGCTCCCTGGCGCCTGGTGTAGGGCCCGTCACGCAGCGGCTGTACAGCCTGCTGACGTCCATTCAGTACGGCAGAGCGCCAGATCCGTTCGAGTGGATGATCGAGGTGGACATGCGGGGTCCCACGGGTGCGTGCGCGTGTTGGGTTTTCAGGGCTTTGTCCATTTCCCTTGTTCGTTCCCAACCCCGCCGTAAATTTCCTCTGCCGTACCTGCTGTACATTCTATCGTGCGGATGTGTTATGCTCCGCGCGCTCTGTTTCTCGCCGTCTGGCTGTCGGAGAGCTCTTTCGCACTGGAGGCACGTTTGCAGCGGGTAGCGCTGGAGCGCGCGCGCACGGGGCTTTGCTTACTACAGATTTCGTGCCTTTATTCTCAGCCCCGAATTTTGGGTCGTTCCTTCCCCTTCCCCCTTCCACCACAGCCACCTGCATGGTGTATTTATCATTGTTTCCGTGTGGTATCGAAATCTCACATAATGTCCCCTCTTGCTTGACATGCCGCTGGTGGGCTCGGTGGCTGTGATGATGGTTTGGCGGCGTCCACAACGACGGCGGTACGACGATACGACGGCATTGACTTGACCTTGCGACATGACGTTGCAATGATGATGACGTTGCAATGACGATGATGGTGATGGATACGGCAGAGGGCGCACTGCATTTGGACCAGTTACTGGACGTTGACGAGGCGGTGGGGGGTACGGAAAGGGTTTCGGAGCCGACCCTGGCTGCCTGCAATGAGGCTCAGGGGGACCCCGCTAAGGGCCCCACGCCGGGGGGTGCGGGGCAGCCACTGCCCCGCAGTGTGTTCGCCGACCCCAACCTGGAGTGAGTGAATGAGTGACTTGGTGAGCAGCTACAGCAACATACAGGAGCTTTAAGAGGCCGGGGGCTTTTAAAAGAACCATTGAGGGGTAGGGGGGAGGTGTGGCGTAGAGGCAATCTTCCGCGGGATGAGGCTGCAGCTGCAGCAGAAGTGCAGCAGTGGCGGCAGGAGCAGCAGCAGCAGCAGCAGCAGCAGCGCGGGGTCAGCGATGAGGAGGACCACTTCCAGCAGCGCGGCCGGGGGTGATGTGTCGGGCGGAGCGACTGTGGCATTATGGGTGGCGGCATCGGCCAGCGGTTCCACCATCTTGTACGGCTCTCCCTGCAGCCATGAGCAGTTGTGGCTGAAAGCTTTTGTTGGCCTGGCACTGAGCGGCTTGTGGCAGAGCTGCTTTGCGTGTGTGTGATGAAGGTGAGGTCATCACCATAGCTACTGTACACAGTGCTTGTGAGGTGTTTTTCTCAGTGGTTTCGGAACGTGAAGGCGAAAACGCGTACATGCGTCACGCCCTTTACCCAGATTCCGCAGCCCTGGGGTCCTCCGCTGTTTCACTTGCTTGCTCGTATAGGATGCACTCTTTGGGGTTGGCGCTGTAATCCAAAGAAGCTAGGCGCAGGTTCTTCCATCCTGATGCAAAGTAGGAAGGCGGTCCTGTATGCCAAGTTGTGAGAGAGAGACAGGAAGACAGCGACATCATTACGCGCGGAGCCGCTTCCTCCGTGCGGGGGTCAAACCCGACGCCCGGAGGGGAACCTTCGAGGTGCCTTTCGCACAAAGATTCACCCGCGTAAGTTTGCAAGGACCGAGGCGAAGGCTAGAGACAGTGAAGGCCTTGGAGTGGCTTTTTGGGTGGCGCGGCTTGGACCCCTGGAAGCATTGTTTCACAATGACTGTGAATCTCTCGGCGGATTGGAGACGTAGGCGGAGTAACACAGCGCGGAGTTGCAGGAGGGGCCGCGAGGGGGAGGGGGAGGCGGATGTGCGAGCGGAAAAGGGCGTATCACAGCATGTAGGGTAGCCCATCAGTGACAGGAAAGATTAAATCATTCGCGAACCTGAGTACGGCACGTTTCATGAAGTAATGATGGTGATGGTGATGATGGTGAGACTCTTTGGGGGCAGTGCGGTGCGCCTTGGAGAGAATTTAGTAACTGGAAGCATCAGTGACAGTGGTATTAGCAGCAGCAGGTTTCTATTTTATGTCTCGTTTGTGGTTCTTGTACTGTATTATTCCGTCAAATTATTTGTAGCACTTTTGTTGCGCGGCCTGACAGCTGCAGCCTCGAGCAACCTAGGACCCGTTGGTCCCCCTTTGGTTTATTTTCATTCGCCACTGTACGGTGTTAAGGTGGCCGCCGCTGCAGTGCTACAGCGGCATTTGGAGGTAGCCTTCATTCATGCATTGTGCATCATGTACATTACGGCGTTCTGCTGTGTGTATGAGATGATCACTAGGACGGAGGATTGTGTGAGAAGGAGTAAGGTAGGACTTCACTTGGGTTCCGGTGTTTATATCGGAGTTGAGAAAATGGCGTATGAGTTGCGAATCCAGTATTTCCCGTGTTTAATATTTCTACCAGCACTGTAGCCGTACGGTGTAGCTACAGTACAATTGGCATTATGGGCGTGTCCGTCGTCTGCGTACAGTCGTAGGTCGTAAATCGCTGTAGCGTTTCTTATCCGTAGTACAGTGGGCTTAGGACGCCACCCAATTCTTGCTCCATGTCGTTTAATTCGGCTCCAACCCGCTTCCAACTAATAGGGTACTGTCGCTCCAAAAATGTGTAGCTTGACAATACGAATAGTGCTGGCTCTACACCATTGCGATTTGCACTATGTGCTTATTTTCTTTCATTCGCTTCAGGTACTACTATCACTCTCATTTTACCAAGCCTAGCTGTAGGTTGCGGGGGCCAAACGTTGGGTCAGCCTCGGCAGAAAGGGCCACAGCCTCAACTCCACCGTCCCTCTCTTGTAACGTCGGTCCCACCGCCGACAAACCGGTGCCACCCTCCGCGCGCTGAAAAGAAGGCGCCATCGCGTAGATCCAAGCGCATCGCAGTTTCAACTTGCGCATCTTGGTCTGATAGGGACTCTGCAATGATCCCGGGGAATACACGGGGAAATGAGGGAAGAACAGGCAGCCTCCGCGGACGCCTCTTCCCGCAAGAACTCCCAAACAAGCACCAAGTACAAAAAAACAAAAAACGAATCTGACTCCGGGACATAACGTGCGGCTGCAGAGCTCCGACCTGGATTCATAGGCTCGTATGATTAGCCCTTCTCGCAATACAAAGCACCGTCAAATCCGCAACTCATATTCCGACGAATCAAAGGCCGCGTTCACATCCTTGGCGTCCTCCTCCTTCTCACGAGCAGAAAAAAACGTGCAGTACGCGCACCCAACAGATTCCAAGTCCAAAAGACCCCGAGCCTAAGACGACGCTAAATGTAGCGATACCTTACTGTAGCTTAAGCGAAACAGCATGACGGCCGCCAGATCAGCAACTATCTGAATGTTACAGAACAGATGGTGAGAGGGACCTCAAAGTATTGGCTCCTCGACGGCGCAAACCCAGCTCCGACCCCCGCACGCCTTCCCAACCAAGAGCCAGCGATCGCAGAGACGAGAGGGCGAGAGGAGAAGCCGCGCCCTCCTCACTCTCTCTCTCTCGCGCGCGCGCTCGCTCTCCTCTCGCCCTCTCTCTCTCTCGCCCTTTCCCCGTCATGGAGGGACAGATGGAGCAGGACCTGCTCCCCTAGGGAGGGATGTGCGCCATCCACGCACATCCCAACACGTCCATAGGGCCCTTAACTCCAATCCATAAGCAATAATTGAACACTCCTTCGAAACAGCGCAACACAACAAAAACCCTGAGCAAACAGGAAAGCATCCAGGTGCACAAACACCTCAAAATCTCAACTCTCATGGAAATCTGTTCACCGGAACCACCTCGCGCTGGTAACCCCGCCCTGCCGCACGCACGGAGAGCACATTCGGCAGATCGCACACCTCCGGCTAGTGCTCCGTCCAGGGCCCTCAAACCCCCACCTCCAACACACGCACACGCATACACACCGAGTAAAAGAATAACATCACAGGCCTGTGCGTGACACACGACACACCGACATGGCTACCGCCATCATGTGTGTCCGACGCACCTCGACCCCACTCTCGCGGCAACTGGGAGCCGGACCGGGCAGGAAAAAGACTGCCCGGCCCCCGCTGCTGCTACCGCCCGTACAGTCGCATCGAGCCCGACCCCAGCTTCTGGCAAAGCAGTAGCAACGCGGTCACGACCAGCAGCTAGTGGCGCTACCAGCAGATTTAATCCAGCCAGCAGCGGGGGCTGCAAACGCGCTGGCATTCAACTCTCCTGACCAAAACTGGACCAAAACTGCTTTGTCCGCAGGCTCCCAAGGGCGGCAGATCCGGTTTTTTTACCTTGCTGTCCTTACCAATTGTGCCCCGTCGTCGTCTCACTAAAGCCCAAGAAGTCCGAACAGTGGACCAATCCGTTAAATGGAAGCCGGTGGAAAGACTGGGATGGATCCGCCACCACCCCTTCGCCGCCGCGTCTGTACTTAGGTCTTCGTAGTCCCATTCCCTCGTGCCCTCCCTCTTCATCATCTTACTATCATCTCTCTAAGATCACACGGCCATGGCAAGGACCTCTCTCCGCAGCGTACGAGTACAAACCTGTCTTGCGGGTCGCAGTCCCTCGCCTTTACTTGCGCCGCTGCTGCTGCTCCTGCTGCGCCGCCTTCTGCTGCGCCAGCCGTGCGCCACGTGTGCCCGGAACGTAGGCGGGAGCAGCTTCCTGGGCGGGAGCGGAGCGGCTGCTACTGCGGGGATGTGGACAGAGCAGCGCGGGGCAGCAGGTGCGGAATGGGCAGTTCACGTTCATCCATGTGCAAAACCTAAACACAATCCAGGTTAAACAGCGTTAATATAAAACATCGCAAAATTAAGCACTAGCATGGCACGGAAACAGGTGCTAATCCGCAGGCCCGTCTGCCACTCCCCTCCTCTCCTCTCCTTCCCTGGCCCTATCCAGCATACCCACCGGCTGGCACTGCTGCTGCTGCTGCTGCTCCGGGTGCTCACACTGCCTGTACCCCGGCCGGGAGGAGCTGGGGTAGAGACGCGGCTGGTGCCGGTGCCGGTGCTGGTGCGGCTGGTACCCGTGGGCGCAGAGCGGCTAGAGGAGCTGGACGCAGCTGAGGAGGAGGAGGAGGAGGAGCGAGAGCTAACGCTGCTCGTGCCGCGGGCAGGCACGCT